TGGTGTGTGTGGCAAAATGCTTTGTGTGGACAATGCCTACTCTGAGGGGATGGAGGAAAAATCCAGCAGAGTTCATTTGAATCACCTATTTAAACTGTTTAAGCAAACTTGGACAATTTTTTTTTCCTATTTCCTCTCCCTGGGGAGCCTTACAGAGTAATCACATGAATCTGCTTCACTTTCTGACTGGACTAGTCACCTCCATGACAAAACTGGAGCAAACCACAGCTGTGCAGTAACATCTTCAACAGGCACAACTGTTTGCAGGGTAAACATTTGCCTATACCCTTACTGTAGACAGAATATGTTAACAAAAGGAAGGCTTCTACCAGCTTAGCTGAGGCACCTTCCTTGCAAACACAAGGCTGCATTTGCTCAAATCCAGCACTACCTCTGCACGTGGAAGAAGTGCACCACCAGCACGACAGTTCACTGATCCACCTGTTTCAAACAGCTCAACTGAAAGAGACGAAATTGCTGGTCTGAAGAATACCTTCACAATACCGCTTTAAATACACACTGCAGTGCTTCCACACTGATGGAATAACAACCACAGTGAGACAGTTACAAACATCTGGATTCATGGGTCCATAACTAAACCAGTAATAGCATTCGTCTGCCAGGGTTTTGCAGGCATTCTTCTTTGTGTCAAACTCCAGACCGTGGGGTTGGCAACGCTCTGCAGTGTAGAATTAGCCCAAGATGTGGCAGTAATGAAAGGGACAAATGCAGTCCTTAGGAAGCAGAAGAATCCTGTATTAAAACAAAACCCCTACATGTCTTGCTGCCAATTGTGCTTAGTCCACATACTTTGGAGTGTTATTTTAAAATAAGTAATTTTAAAATGAACTACTCATAAATCATCAACCTACTTGCAAGTCTAGGAGAGCCTACAAACAGCAAAATCCTCAACTGGTACCGTTGGTAGTATTGCTAAAGAAATCACATTAGTATATATTGGCATACAAGATTAAAGCCAACTGACAGAACAGGATATAAAATACTTAAATTCTTCCACTTGCCTGGGAAAGATGCAGCATTTCAACTCAACTCTTTTTAAACCACATGAATTAAGCCCTGAGTGGATACACTGCATTTGGTGTTTGCATTAATTTCTGACAAAGTTTACACTTGAGTGGATTTGTTGTAAAATGGGTTGTAAACTATAAACTAAGCTGACATGAGTGTTAATAAGTTCAACTTCAAAAACTTTTCCACGAAGATGAACAATGAATAATTTTGGAATGGAAATGAGGAAGAGTGAGTAAAGAAGACTGGGAGTACACATTTTTTGCTATTGTGGATCAGCAGGGCAGCCAGGAACAGCTAAAAGAAGCTGCAATCAATCACAGCACCCCTGGGAATGGCCCCACTTGTGCAAGCCCTAAAATCCAGGAAGTGTAATGGGTGTTGGAGCCAGCAGTGTCCTGCTCAACCTGAGCTGCAGCCTCCAAGTTGGGCAGGTGAGAACAGCAGTCTCAGATATAACCTTAACTACAGAGCAGTGACCTCTGATCTAAACAGTTTTATGCTATGAGCTGAAAATAGTTATTCCAGATATGTCAAACCTATTTAAGAGCACCTCCGCAGCCCAGATTTACCATGCACTACGCGCAAGATCTTTGCAGCATTTTCCTGGGAATGTGTAGCGGTGGGGTTTGGCACACTTCCACACCTTGAAGTATGTATAAGTGCTTGGCCATGGTTTGAAACTGAGCTGCCTAGGAGCAATAGGGCCAAGATCTTTTTAGCTTTGCTTTATGCTATTAAAAGCACAAAAGAAATTAAATACAGCACACTGCACCAAGTAGCACAGCTTTGAGTTAAGCCAGTAAAAGCAAGAAAAAATGGAATCAGATACCTGTGCCCTAAGTTTAACTACGTGTCCTAGTGCTATGGTGTATGTTGGACAGTAACTGCCTTGTTTCAGGCTCTTCTTTTGGACAGAAGAAAACATGAGTAGAAAGCAGCACTTAATTTTCCTCCAACATTGTTAGTGGCCTAAGACCAAATTTTACTGTTTTGGATGTGTTATCTTTCTTGAAAATCCCACTGAAAACATAAGAATTTAGTATTACTGCATCTAAAAGAGTAAAGCTATCAGCATAAAGATATTAAGTTTTATACTTGGTACCTCCGAGATGCAGTTCATATTCACTGCTCACAAACACGACAGCACGATGCATGACAACGTGATTTTTTCAACAGTTCATTGTCCAATTAACAGAATCAGAAATCAATCTCTCCTGTTGAGATAGGCAAGCAAAAAACTACTATTTAGTCACTTTTACTGTGCCTGTTATTCTGCTCTCCCAGTGCCTAAACCAGAAGTTAATGTGCAGCCCAGGCCTGCTCAGCACACCCAGGAACGGGGCTTTCTGGGGGCCCTGGTATTTTTATAAAACATATGTTACAGCAATAGCTGTGACTGTGGGAAACTTAACTTCTGGGGAAACCTACACCTCTTCTGCATGAGAATCACAGTGCAACCAATCAGTGTCATTTTTAAGTAGCTAAATCACCCTCACGTCACTCAGATGGGGTGACTCCATGGGCAGTTGCATTGGCAGGTAAGAAATGGCAACAGACATCATGTTTAACGTGATATGTGAGAGCTCAACATAATCTTCAGTATTTGTACTGTATCCTGTTAAAGTAACATTTAATGTTTTATATGTATTAAAATATATTATTTTATTTTTAAAATTGCTAAACTTTTTATTACTTATGTCACTGAGTAACCAGAAGGACTATCAAGAGCACCAGCTGGCAGTTGTATTCTTGTGAAGTTTGAAACATGGGGACTGCAAATGATAAGGGTGTGCTCTGTAACTACAGGACAAACAACTGAGCATGAAAAACAGTCTTTGGGAGAGCTTATGACGCAAGGTTTTTATTTTAACAGCACACGTGAATATGCCCAGGCTTTAAAATGTTTGTGGTTGTTTTTTTTTTTTTTACAAATTCTTTTTCTTTTACAAGAAATGTAATAAGTAGCATTCTGCTGCTTATTGCATGAGAGCAATGAAGAGGTGTCATATGCCTGCTGTGTCAGTCTGTAGCCTAATCTGCACTACTACACCCTATAAGAAACTATGTTACAAGTGTCAACTGCTCTGCACAAAACACATGGCTGCATTTACCTCTTGATACCAGAAAGGTTCCTTCTAACAAATCCATTTCAATGTAACACTAATCCTCTGGGCACTGAAATACTGTTCAAATTATGAAAAACCCATGTTCTGTTACAGAAGCCTATTTCTCATATAATATTTTTAATTTTGCAAAAGGTAAAAATGCACTCATCATAAAGTTGCTATTGTGCAAATCTGCTAAATTTCTCTTTAAAAATACCTACGGGAACAGAAGCATTGACTTCCTCACTGGCAAAAAAATAATATTTTCCCCTACGCTCCGTAGGAGAGAAACTTGAATAATTTTAGACACATTGGGGGGTTTTCATCATTCTCAACAGCATTCCTGGGCATCTGGCTGTACCAGCTCACAAGCAAAATGCTCTGCAATATTCTTGTGCTAATACAAGAGGAACATGCTTTTCCAAGGAGCTAAGTATCAGATGGTATTGGAGAATGCGAAGGTGGAAGCTTCTCTTTCTAAAAGCTGTAACTTGCTGTACCAGAAACTGCTACAATTATCTTTTTGGCAACTCTAAGGCAAAGTGTCAGTGTTCTATTTCATTTAAATACTTTCTCTCCTACCGTGCAGATCCAAGTACAAAATGCATGACCAACAGAGAACTAGATCCCAGTAATTTGTTAAGTTATCTAAAGCAGTTATTTAAAACCAAACAAAAAACACTTCCCAAAAAAACCCGCAAAAACAAAGAAGCAAAACACCAAACCCAAAGGCAACAGACACTTGCTCTCTCCCTTTATTGAAGAAGGAGAGCCAATGACCCTTCATGCAAATACATCAGACTGCCATAGGCACTCTACAGCACAGTTCTCAGGATAAGACACCTTTACCACAAACTCAGTAAAACACACTGCTCTGGTTAGTCCCTGCGCTCATGGCTTGGTGAGACAGAACAGCAGCTCTCATTTTATCATATTTGCAAAATGTGTACCAAACCTGTCCAACTCCAAAAGCCAAATATTTCCAACATAAAATCAGAAAGCATTTCCAGTATTTTTTAAAAACTTATACAAGGCTCACTGTTACACATTAGCTATTAAGATACCTTGCAGTCAAAAATCTTACTGAGATGCATCAAATGAAAGTAACATTATTTAAATGTAGCTTTACTGCAAATCTGAACACTGGATGCTCACAGCTAAAGAGAATTTTTATGCCTTTAAACAAAAGTAAAACATACAAAGATTTAAAAAAATTAGCTAACTATGCTACTATTTAACTTTCCTACAGATCAAGTGCTCTGGTTCCCAACCGTCACTTTATCTAAGACTAAATCACTCAGTCTTCCATGCTTACAATTTCATTTTCTAAAACCTAACACAAGTGTCTCCCAAGTTGGGAACTTCCTTAAAAATATTCTCTATCAAGAGACTACAACTTTGACCAACAGACAGATAAATTTAAAGGCAATACTTCAAGGCAATCTAACTGTTACACAACATACTAAGAGAAAGCATATAAAAATCACACACAGTTCTGTGTTTCAGAATGAAACGGTAACTCTATAAACTTGGCACTCAAAAAGCCAGTTCAAAGTACACAGAGACACTAAGTTGAAAGCTTCAGCATATTTTGAAGTTCATATAATTGTTTCACGAAGGCAGTGACCAGGTAAGAACAACAAACTGAATACACTTTACTATGTACATCAATCGCTAATGACTACACCTCCAACATGCAGACAAAATAGCAAACTTCAGTTTCAAACGTTTCCTATGCTTATTCAATCTGCTGTACACATTTTTTGTCTAACAGTCACAGTCATAAACATTAACTTTCCCATTTTTTAACCTGAGCACATTAATCTCCTACCACCGTTCACAATTTAAGAAGCCATTACATACCTGCAGTTAGGAGGAGGATCAAGGGTTATTTCAGCTAGCTCCTTCTGGATTCTGTTGGTGAAATGAGAACAGACACAAAGCATTTGAGATAGTCTATAGAATAAATCAGGGAATTACACTGCCCTCTACCACCATGCAGTTAAATGCAAGATTGGCTTTGCCTTCAGTAATGCTAACATGGCTGCTTCCTCTTTGTTCTCAGAGGCATAACCCAAATCCCACAGCTGAGAAACTTTGCAGCTTTTTTCCTGCTCCACGCTGTATGTAAACAGAACACTTACAACTGAGTTGGGTAGAAATGTCCCACAAGTATTCAGAAAAGTAACTCTTTTTCACATCCGAGCACTTTTTACCAGAGAGATTTTCTTTTCAAGCTAATATGCAAATGAGGTGGGGGGGGGAGCCTGCACAGGCAGATTTGACAATGACTTTAAACCAGCGCTACAGACCTGTGACTGAGGCTCGAGTGAACCGCGCTGGCAGCAGACACACTCTTTTCACGATATTTTACCTACTACTTTGCAGTGTGTTTAAAAAGTGGATTTGCAGATCTGCCAGGCTGTCTCTGTTACTGGAATAATCTCTCCGGATCAACTTTGCTTGTCTCCTCACCTCCTGCTGCCTTTCCTCCCCCAACCTTATACAGTAGCTGTATTTACATGATAAAAAGTGATATAATAACTTGAAATAATCTGTGCTTAGCTTTACTCTATTACAACCATTCCTAAGGAGTTAAGATCTAGAAAATGAACATCGAAAACATCTTGTCAATTTAACATTTTAGTCAGGTACATAAGGGGTGCAATTTCAAAAGACACATGTTAAACTCCTCCTAAAAATACCAAGTAAGACTTATCTTCCCAAAAGGACCCATATGAACAATGCTGTGAGTTTCATGCAAATAACAGGTGTCAAAATATGAGCTAACAGAAACTGCTCCAGATGTCCTTGCACTAGTACCAATAAGTTCAATAACCCTACTGAACTATCTGAGATGTATGGAATTAGACTTGCAACAATTAAGAGAAATAAAGGCAAGACAGGAAAACTCAGTGTCAGAAGTCTGCACCTCAGGCTTTTCCAATAAAGATAAGTAACAACAAATTACAAAGCCTACATAGTAGTTCCAGAACTTTTCTTTCTTTAACCAGTCCTATTTCAAAGGGTTTCTTCAACAAGCTCAAAAGTCATTAAAGCCACTTAGTCATTCCCTGCCACAATTTTGACACATTTCAAAAAGTATTTACTAAATTTAAGTCAAATACAAAATTGCTAAAGTGTTCCTAAAAGTCTGAACTATAGCATTCATGCTGAATAAGCAAAATTTGAAGGTACTACAGCTATTTTACAACTTTTCTTGCTACAGGATTCTTATAAATGTTTGTAAAGAAGAGCAGCTCCAGGGAAAGCACTGAAAAGTTGTTTCATCTCCAAAGATCACTGGAATTGAGGGATTTAAAGTTTGCATATTTCACACAGCTGATCTTATGGAAAAATTACCAGAGTACACATCATGAGAGCCAGACTACCAGTAACCTTATATGCCAATAAAAGTGCAACTAACGGAACCAAACAAGGTCTCTGAAGATTCTCATATTTAAAGGCAGAGGCTACCTGTACAACCTCATTGTTTAAACCCACAGATCCTAAGGGAGAAAACTCAGCTATGTTTCTCATGAAAGAACTGCAGGATGAATCCATTACTTCAAGGTGTGTAAGACACTCCAGCAGATCAACATGAAAAGCAAGTCATGAGGCCCACAGCAGCCACTGGGGTTTTGCGACTTCTTTAATTAGAGAGCAACCCCTGTCATCAGTCTACAGACCATAATAAAATACAACTACGAGGACTCCTCCCTATACCAGTCAGGTATGGAAACCTAACTCAGAGAAAGGCAGCCAAAGCTGATGCTCTGTCTCTCATTTCGGCAAATACAAAATGTATTTAAGTGTCCCCCCTCCCAGTAAGCCTGTAAGTTACCAAGTTCTGTAACAACGCTTCAAAAGACATACAACAAGTCTGTGTAATTGTTACCCCAGCAAAGCTTGGACTAACGAAGACACTGCTTGGCAGGCTTCACTCTCCTTCACGTAACTTTACAAGAACAACCCCTCTGCCCTGAAAAGTGCAATGCGAGTACTGTGACTCCAAATACTGTGCAGAAATACTACAGAATGTTTCACTCTCCCTTTACCTCTTTGCACTTGTAGATAGCTTAGCAGTAGTTTTGCTGGATAGTTTGGTGTTCTTCTTCTGCTGGGTGGCAGAGGGTTTTCGTTCTTCTTGCTCTTCAGGTTCAGGTGCAGGTGGATCCCTCTGATCAGCATCTGAACTACCACTGCTGGTACTTGGACTTTCATCGTCTGACCTTTGCCTATCACTGGACATCGTGAGGAACTTTTTGGGGGAAGGAAAAGAAAAGAGGCATAGTTAATACAACAGGCAGGACTCTCTCCCGTCACTCCCCAAGTTCCACTGACCACTGCCTATCACCACACATCATAGGGAACTTCTTCTGGGAAGAAAAGAGCCAGAGTTCATACAACAGTCATTTGGCCATACCCTAAATTCCAGAGAACAATTTGAATAGGTGTCAAATCAGTTTCAGTGAAAAATTAATCAAAATATACGTCTTTGTCTCATCCCCAACTGCTGCAGTTTGACAGCTACAAAGCAATATTTACACTTCGGAAAATACAGATATTTCCAATTTTTAAACCCACTCGCATTTTTTTCATACTTTAAACAATATGCCAATTGTCGACTTTGTTCTAAGGCATGAGACACATTCAGCAGGGTACTTAGGCAATGAACATTAATAACTTATGACACATTGTAAATAACAGACCTCACTGAAAATGTTTTTTAAAAAGTCACTAATACCCTGTAAATATTTACACTGGAGCAGAGCATTTTATTGGGTCCAAACGCCAGATCCCCCCTCTCCCCCTCTCTCCGAGAAAATACATTGCCAGCAACACTTCGGTTGATTTCAGATGGAAATGTACACTTGCTCTGTGCATTTAAAGGGCTGGCGCGGGGGGGCTGGGGGGGAGGAACGGGGTTTGTTTTTTTGTTGTTGGTGGTGTTTTTTTTAGTAAGGGGACAAACCCCGCGATGCATTTAAAGCCACTGGGGCAGCAGCAGCCCCGGTTATTTACATGGCCAGCAGCGAGAACTGCATTTGGCCACCACAGAGCTGCCGGAGGGGGAAGAAGCATAATTCAAACTGCACCTTCTGCACAGCTCTCCCCGCCGCCGCTCCCCGCGCAGCTCCGCCAGGCAGACCGACATTTTTCCGCCGATCGGGAAAGGCGGGGGTTGTGTGTGTGGGGGGAGGAGGGGGCTGCCCCGGCGGCCGGGGGGGCCGAGGAGGAGCGGCGGGAGCTGCGGCAGGGCTGGATCCAGGCGGCCGCCCGGCCGCGCTTTGTGGGGAGCGCCAGCCCGGCTGGGTTCGGCTCAGCTCGGCGGGCGGCGGCGGCGGCTCGCCCGGCCCCGCTTCGCACCGTGCGTGTGCACCAAGTGAGGCGTGAACTCGGGCCGGCCCCGCGCCCCCGGCCGCCGCCAGGCAGCGAGCGCCGAAAACAAGAACAAAGCTCCTCTACCAGCCCCCCCGCCTCCTCCCCGCCTCCCCCCACCGCGCTCGCCCAGCCGCCGCGGCGGCCGCCTCGCCCGCCGCTCCCTTACCTTCGCCGGCGTCCTGTCCCGCTGCTGGGTCGGAGGGGCGGGATGGCGGGGGGCCGGGCCGGGCCCGCGGCGCCCGAGGAGGGGACGGAGGCGGCCGGGGGGCTCTACGGCGGCGGCGGCGGCTCTGTGGCCGGGCAGTGTGGAACATTGAGAGCCGGAGCAGGGGGGGACGGGGGGAGGCGCGGTGCGGCCCCGCGGCCGGCGGGTGGCGCTGGCGGGCCCCGCTCTGCGGCGCGGGCTCCCGCGGCGGGCCGGGGGGCCGGGGCGGGGGGCGACGGGAGCGCGCGGCGGAGCGGGGGCGGGGAGGGGGCTCCGGCCGCTCCCGGGATCCCCCCGCCCCCGCCCGGCCCCCCCGCCCGCCCGCGGCCGCCGGCGGAGCTCCCGGCGGGCGGGGGAGGGGAGAGCAGAGGAGAGGGGGCGCTCGCTCCCGCCCGGCGGCCCACGGGGTGCGCGCAGGCGCGCTCCCGCCGCGGCCGGGGGCGCGCGTGCTCCGGGCCGGGCAAGGACAAAGCGGCGGCCGGGGGTGTCCGTCCCTCGACGGTCCGAGCCCGGCGCCTCCCGCACAGCCTCGGGCCCGACGGACTCCGGCCTCCAGCCCGCCGCGCCCTCCCGCGGGAATGGCCGCGAGCTTTGCCCTGGCCAGTGCCCAGCCACGGCAAAGCCCGGGGGCCGCGGGGTCTCCGCAGCCCTTGTCCTTGTCGGCCGCCCCACCTCGCACCTCACGCCTCACACCTCGCCTCGTGCTCTGCGCCCGGTGCCAGCGCAGGGACACTCAAGAATGGGACAGTTGATGGTTTCTCACCCCACCACCAAAAAATCCCTGCCCTGGGCACACTATCACACGTGGGAGCTAAAGAAATACCAGCCACCCTGCTGGGGTGCCTCACCACTCCGAACAGGAGTATTCAGCATCAAAACCAGAGCTGGTTGTTCCATGAGCAGCCAGTGTGCCAAATCATACATGTTTTAAAGAGGAAAGGGGATAATCGATAGCGGTTGCAGTAGGTGTCACAGGAAGGTGGTGCAGGATAGAGATGTTGCTTGTTTTCCGTCCCGTCACGAATGCGTGGTGCTGGTGTGCACTGGAACAGCTTCTCATGCCCTATGCCCGGGCACACCATGTGCCCAGAGCAACCCACCAGCTGAGGGAATATAAATATTCCAAACACTGCAAGAAAATCTAGTTTTGTAAAAGAAGATTATTCTGTCTGTGAAAAGTAGATGAGGTTGTGGATAACCAGAAAGGGTTAACAATTACTGTAAATATTTGTGCAATTTACACAAAATCTCAAGGCTAACATTGCTGTCCAGTACAAGGGCTTTCACCTTGATGGCTTTTACCTCAAGGGCTTTCATTAGCAAAAGCCTAATGACTTAAAACTACTGTGTTTTCTTAGCTTGTGCAGGATCAAGGGGTCAGGGAGCATATATTGTGCTCTAGAGGAATAAACAACTGGTGTGTCAGGGAATACCCTTCTCTGGGTAGCTGAAGTTAGCTCAGTTGAAAACTATGCTGAAGATTTGGCAAGAGAATTGAATGATGTGATGTGGAGGAATACTGGAGGTTTGTTTGTTAAAGTAGGCTATAGAGAATTCCCAGATCACCACTACAGGCAATTTGCCCCTGAGGTATGCTGTAGAAAATTCCTAGCATAAACAGTATCTGGCATGATGAGCAATCTGGGCATAATTAGTAAAAGGGAAACATGGCAATATTCCACCACCCCACCACCACCCCCTATTCTGTTGATGATGCTCAAGATGAGGCTTGCTGAGCTTTGAAAGTCAGGATTATTTACAATTTATTTTATTTCAGGTGAAAATTTGCGGTCATCCAAAAAAAAGTACTAGAAGAATGTGCATCTACAGAATGAAAGTAAGTAGGTTGGTCAAGGGTTGCACACCAAATCAGCTACTACCCGTTGTGTGGTTCTGTGGCTTTCAGGATACAAAGGGAAAATTAAGAAAACCCATTTAACAAAGACTAATAGAAAAGCCAGTCGAGACTTTACTTTTTTCCCCACCCTTTTGTACTGTATTAGAGCAGATTTACTACAGCAACATGGATATACAGATATTTTTTGGATTGAATAGTCATTCATTTGACATTGGGTCTAGAGGATGACACTTTCATCTTACTTTCCTTGGGTATGTTTGTTGTGTTGTCAACCACAGAAAAAATGCTGCCCTGAGAGGTACAGTACAGTTTGAAGGAGAGGGAGAAATGCCAATTGTAATAGCTATAGTTACAAATCTGCTCTCTCTATCTTTTTATATCCTGCAAGATCTGTCTTAAGTGTAATTTTAACTGATGTACCCATCATGAATGCTTTTCTCTGTCAGTTTATTGGATGCTCAAGTTTGGAAGTGCTGCTGGCATTGTAAACTGCAGGGCCTTCCTGAGGAAGTCCTGGGCACTCAGAGTGAGGTCTGCTTTTTTTCCCCAGTCACTTGCCTTCCTTGTTTTTGTTTTGTTGATGTTGTGTTCTTTGGGTTTGTTTTTTTTAACAAGCCCTGCTTGCAAAGGTGGTCAGAAGCTCAATTCTTTTTTTTTGAGTCTGTCTCCATCCCCGCTCTCTCAGAGCACAGTTTCTGGTAGTTTAACAGCTGCCTTGGGCTGCACAGACATCTGAAAATATTTTTCTAGGTTTAGGAATTCACAGTTCAGTCTCCTCCATCTGACGTGAAGTTCTTAGATAGCAAACAATGCAATGCCTGGGACTAGAACTAGGCTGAAAGGAATTTTCTGCTTCTCAGAAGACAACTGCAAGGGATGGAAAAGTCATTGTTTGATCTCCTTGCCCCAACCCTTTCAAGGGTGTACAGATGGTAAAATAAGACCAGCATACACTTTTCATGATTAAGAGCAGCTCAACTGAAAATACTAATTAATGTTTGCAGTTGTGTCCTTCATCTTCTTTTTCACAAAATCATTGTCTTATGACAGTAAATACATCTCCACCTAGCAATGCATCTCTCTGTTCTATCTGTGTTCCCATTCCAGGTTGTGTTAAAGCCCCCATTGGAGCTCTACTGCAGCTCCATAGACAGATGAGCACAGGCTGCAGAACCAGGAAATACTTTTTTTTTTTTAAAAGTAGATTGGTTAAAATTTAGAGTGTGTTTTTATTAGTAAGTAGTGTTATAGTAGCAAGTCACAGTAGCAGCTAATGGTCCTTGTAAAGTAGATCTTGTACAAATATCCAGCATGTCTTTCCCCAAGATAATTAAAAATTTTAACAGAGTGCTGGGAAAGTAGATTAGTCAAAAAACCTTGGGCCAGAAAGAGATGTAGTGACTTAGAGAAATGAGTACAGGAAGCCTGCTATGTAGTCAGTAGCTGCAGCTCATCCTATCATGCCTTAAACTTAAAATCATCACCATAAATGGGCTCATTCTTACATTGTGATGCTGTGGATTCATTTGAATTCATGAATTAAAAACAAGCCCCTGAAGAACAATGTCTCTACTATGTTTCAATTAATTTGTGTCGTCAAGAATTTACAAGAAGAGCGGAGGTAAGTTTTTTGTCCTCGAACTGAGAAATTAAGTCAGTGTGGCAGTAGACACCAACCATTAGGAAACCACCTCCCAGTCCCTTTGTCAGCTGATGTTTAGCCCATCTGTTGGTTTTGTGTTGCCACCTTACAAATCCTGGCATGGGAATATGATGGAGAAAGGACGGGGAGGGGGCTGGGGGGGGAAGAGATGAAGGCAAAAGCCAGAACACTGCTGTGCTTCAGTTGTTCTTTTTTGAAGAACGACTTTTTGGATGCTGCTGTAGCTCAGCAATAGTCTTGAGACTGCTCTAATGCAGCCTGTCACAATGCCTGGAACTTGGGATGCTTAGAGGAGTTTTCAGGATATCTTTACTTTCTCTGAATCCTTATGTTCTTGAATAAAGCCAGGAGGAGAATTTTACCAACTGTTTTTTAACACAGGAGTTAGCTGTTTAGCCAGGGTTCTTTATAATGGTGAATAACTGCTGTATCTAAATCCATAGAAAAATATTTAGCGGGCAATAAAGCACTACAGATATTAATTAATCTTCATCATAATGCTATGAAGTAGACAGTAAGTCCTACTGTTTGTTATACCTGGTATTTGACAATTGCATTTTACACACTAAAAGACTAAATGGTCAGTTGGGTACTGGTTTTTAATGGGCAGATTAGTATTAAGCACTTAAAAGCATGACAGGTAAATGCATGTTTTTGAAGCACAAAGTCATGTGGAAATGTTTGTATTTCAGTGTTCCCAGGGATTTCTTGTATTCTATTGTGTAAATTGCTTCCTTGTGTGTGGATTGTTGATGCAAGAAAAAAACATACTGGCTTCTTTGGAGTTCCCCTAGTCATTCATACAAATCAAGTGTCTGTGCATGTCAAATGAGTATCAGTGCTTTAAAAAAATCCATACTTTATTTTTTGTTGAAGGCAGCTTGTATTCACAAGCTTTTAACCTCTGTAATTTTCATTTTACTTGAAAAGCTGTAGGAAAAAGGAGAAAAATTAAATACGGAAAATTCAGGTGGGATTGGTCCATCAACTGGACCATAGTAATTCACATGTCATAAGGATATTTCTCTCAATAAATAATTGTTAGTTCATCTGCAAGCAATGTCACAAACAGAATTTTCCCCTGACATTTTAATTGAAAAATTATCTTTGATGTATAGATATGGGTAATTTCAGTTTGCTTTAACACATTTAATTTTTAGTGCAGTATCATGAATGTTGACTATAGTAGAGTAAAATGTAAATACTGGCAGACCTTTACCAGTACCAAAGTGTGAGAACAATAGGTCTGTAAGCAACTTCATAAATTCTGGGAAATGATTTTGTCATATATATTCAATGGTACAGTGTGTAAATCATAAGTTAGGGAGAAAGAACTTGGCTCTACATATACAGCCCTGGCAGATCAGCATTTCTGCAAAACTTTCAGTATGAAATCTGCCCCTTTTCTCACACTGGATGCAGTAAAACAGTATTGTCATTCTTGATGTGTGTGATAATCTGCTAAGAAAGCTGTTGTAATGAATAATGTTGAAGGCCTAGTAAAATTCTCATTTCTCTGTTACAAACAGAGATATTCCACCCCTAAAGCATCTCAGGCTGAATTATCT